GTGTGTGTGTGTGTGTGTGTGTGTGTGTGTGTGTGTGTGTGTGTGTGTGTGTGTGTGTGTGTTGGATCATAATGTGTGAAACAGTGTATTGTATCTTCCTCTCTCACATTTCTCATCATCAGCACCATCCAAGTTCCACTGGTGAGTTCATAATGGGGGGACCCTGCTTGTTTTCAACCCCCGTCCTGCAATAATAGGAAACACAGCATCACTTTTCCACTGTCTCCTCACTTCTCTCTGCTTTTTTTAAATATGCTGTTTGTGTTCCTATTAGGGTTTTTTTTTTATCAGATCATAGTGAGTTTTTGTTTGAAGTGAAACATGCAGTTTTCTTCATTGTCTAAAAATGGCTGGAGTTTAGTCAGTTTGACAGATACAGAGCTAAAATCTGGTGGTGTTGTAGTTGAGCATCATTCCCAACACAAACTCTGAGGGCTAACCACTGCATGATATTTATGCTAAAATGTAACTGTGAATCCTGGGAGCCAGCAGAATCAGCCATTCTCAGATACTAGAGATAAAAAGATGGAGAAACTGACAGTGTGATTTATCTTTGTCGCCATCTAGTGGCGAACAAACGAATTTCTGGAGCACTTCTATAAATTTTTTAAAAATCATTTTCAGGGTTTTATTTTATTCAACTTGATTTTAAATTATTTTGTAGTTAAAATCTGGCTCATATAAAAATAAAACACAGTATTTTTATTTTTAGATCATTGGAGTTTCCCTGGTCTTGTTCAACCAGAGAATTCATTTAACAACAAGCCAAAACTTTAAGTTACGTTTTCTCTTTGCTTCTGTGTAAACACACACACACACACACACACACACACATACGTCTCCTTTTGTCTGCATGAAGTTGTGTAACACACACCCTGAAACACATACACTCTCCGCTGGTGGGCCGCACCGCACCGCACTGCACTGCTTGGGAGTGTGGGTGGTCCAGGCCAGGTGGAGGAGGAAGGGATTAACACCAGGCCTGCCCAGAGGAACAAAAAGGAAAAGATGGAGTGAAAACGAGAGATGGAGATAAACATCTGTCCACCAGATGTGCTGGTGTGGACACAGAGGTGGTTTATGAAAAGAGAGAGACGGGAATGAAACCAACAGCTGGGAGCATTGTGACCGTGTTTCTTCCTTTTTGTCATTAGGTTGTGTTCAACACACAAAATCTGCACATCCACACTCTCACAAACACTTGCTCTGTTTCTGCCTCTTCTTCTGTTCTCGACTCCTGCAGGCTGCTATGCTAAACTGTAAACCACTGATTAGCAGCTGTCAAAACACATCCAGGGACTGTGTGTATGCTGATGGRCTGCAGTTGTGAGGGAATGGAACAGATTTTATGTACAGAGAAACAAAAACAGTTTTGTCTCCACCTCACCCCKATTGAAAAGCRATAATTCAGCTSTASGTAGTTTTGTGAAAAGGTTAGCAACATTTGACATAATATTGTTGYATTGTGTGGAGCTTTGCTTTACTCAAAAGAAGGTATAAATGTCACAGTCAGCAGAAGGTTTTATATACAGAACGCAGACTGACAAAAAGCTCTAAGAAGCATCTAAAAAAAACAACTTTATTTAACAAAACAAAAGGTGGCAGCATGAGTTACACAAACCAAACGAGGAAAAAAATCTACACAGGGATGATGTAGAGTAGAGTTGTGCCATGAAGGCCAATAGTTCACTGCTGAGATGGAAACCTGGCTGATTATAGACAGGAAACAGGTGAGAGTGACAGGCTGACTGAGGACTAACTGAGAGCAGGTGAACGGTGGGCTCAAAAGAAACTGAAAAGATGAAAACACTGTTAGTCAAACTAAACAATTCCCAGACACAAAAAGCCACAAACCAACCAACCAAAAACACAGATACTGACAGTAAAATGTGATTAATTTACATAAAATAGTTCAACTCAATAAAACAGATTGCAAAAAAAATGCTTGAACAGGAAGTTACAAAATGATAATTGGTTTTTAACCAAGACAAATATCTGTGTTTAAAGAAACAATTCAGATGTRCAGGATATCCTCTAAGTCACACTGCAAAAATTAACCAAAATATTAGATTATAGTCTGAACCTTCTCAAATTCATTAAAATAATCTGCCAGCGGAATAAACTTAGTAAAACTTCACAAAAAATTAAATTAAAAAAACTCCACACACGATTAATAATTGCACACATTCTGCCCTAGTTTCATATATCAGTCTTAAAACTAGATCAAAAATACTTTTTGGCTGGATATAAGATTGTAAGACTTGGTTAAATTGACAGTTTTTGCAGTAGAATGATTAGTAATGATTCACTATTATTACAACCTAAATCTTACAAAATGATGTAAAATTTGTTGAACATTTATTAAAAGTCTGAAGAGCGCCATGATGTTMCGCTTTGTGGTGAACTTTTTTTATTTGCTTTTTGAGCTCAGRGTTTCTTTTGTTTTCTCGGCAGTGTGTCTGTGTGTGGTTTACAGCTGTTTACACAGTTAACAATGGCTGAGCTCTTCCTGAAGTCTGATAAAGTCTGGATGAAAGCTGAAGCCAAATTAATAAAGTTTAACAGAATAAAGATGTGTTTAGTTACACAACATGACTATAAAACTGTCTTCAAAAATAAGCATTTATGAGGTTTTATTTATTTTATTTTTTTGGTCACAGAAAAAAAATCTGAAGAGTTTATTTTCTTTAATTCTGTTTCTCTCCCCCCTCAGGCTCTGCTGACCTCAGAGCTGCTCTCATAAGGTTTTGAGTTAAACCAGTTTGTGTGGAAACACAAACAGCTGAGGATTCAGCTGCGACAGAGCGGTGTGTTGTACCTGGTTCCAGTTTAGGTTCTTTGTGTTGATCCTCTGAATATTGGCTGCTGTTAGGTTTGATCCCACTTGATTCTGTAATAACTGTTGTTCTTTCAGAGTCGAGCGGTAAATCTTATCCCCTCACACTTTTTAAAGGCCAATAAATTGAAAATATATAGTGGCTGAATTGTTTTGAACACAGTGCTGCYTCGTGTAATTGCTTGGATCTGTGAATACAGTTTGTGTGTGGCCCTGTGTGGTACAGATCTAACACRTTATCAAAGAGCTTTGTGTATCCATGTGGTGAGAGGAAAACAAACATTGAGCTCATATTGGTCTATAAATAATATCTTTGAATGACAGATGAAAGTATTTGAGATCTCCATTGTGTTGCAAAGAGATTCAYCCCCTAACCTGGAATTTTAGTTGATTTCCAGTTTCTTTAGAAGGAATGGATCTACATAAAACTGCTCAGATTATTTGTTATATGAAAAAAATAACTTGTTTTATATAWACATGGCCCAGGAGTGAAGATCACTGCTTTAAGGTGGAAAAACRAAGTTATTTTGCAGCAGAGTAAAAATGTTGTGTATGTTTTTCAAGCATGAAAGAAGTCAACATTTCCCAAACTGCACTCTAAAAAGGAAATGTTGGATTTACTTAACCATGTTATGTTACCTGGTTCCACTTAACTGAGTTGAGTAAATTCAAAGCAACATGCTCATGTTCTTTGGCTAAAAAACTGGTATATTGCTTTGAATTTACTCAACTCAGTTAAGTGGAACCAGATAACATAGCATGGTTAAGTAAATCCAACATTTCATTTTTTACAGTGTGTGTTCTGCCTGTGACGTGCATATTCTGCAAATACAAAAAGTCAACGAAACATCTTTATATGTTGGAATAAAATGCACAATTTAACCCATTTTGTCCCATAACTGGCCTATTTTCTTTTGATTTTGGCTCAGCCAAAGTGAAACAGGAAGTGACATCAGAGGGGAACTCTTTAACAAATAAAACTCTGGTCTTTGTTTATTGAAACAATATTTTTTGAATTCTGACTTTTCCTTATCTCTCTCTGATACTCAAAATAATCTTAAGAAACATCAGATTCTTCTCTACAGTCTGGGTTGTTGGATGTTGTAGCAACGCTCTGTTCACATGCAGACATTCCCCTTTGACATCACTTCCTGTCACTTCACAGGCAAATAGCTCAACAACTGTTCATCTCAGCAACAAGAAATTTCTTTTGCAATATTTTATGAATGTCCTCTTCCTAAAAATGCATTCATATGTATTACAAAAATTTGACATCATAGGCACTTTAAAGTTTTTTTTTAATTTGAACAAAAAATTAAACACTTCCAGAAAAGGTGTTCCTATGTGGAGGATGCAGAATTCTAGATAAAACGTATGTTGACCTTGTTAAAAAACCATGGCCTGGCCTTGCACACTCTTACAATCATTCAGATCCTGTCTCTGTTCTGAATCTGTCACATCTTTCCACCAAGTCGTTCCTGAAGTCCTCTCCCCACGTGTTCATGCATCTGTTGAGTTTCATGTTCTTGTTGTTTTGAAGTGAACACCAGCATCGTGCGGTTTCCACTCAGTCAAACCTTTTTCCTGTCTGAACTTTTGCAGGACTGAAGTTCAAAGTCGCTGCGCTGACTTCAGACAGACGGCGCTGCAGTTTCACTAAACATCAGAACTTAGTGAGCATCACAAACATGATGGACACTGTCAAAATGAACAAAGAGGGGTCGGCTTTAAAAYATGAAGTTCAAAAGCTCACACGACCAGACGAAAGAATGGATGAGAGTGAAGGAGACGTTGTTTAAAGGAGGGCTAACAGTCAAGGTGGGTGGTCTTTCTAACCAGWTGGGAGGCTTGTCAACACTAAAGGCACAGAACCCACTTCTCCACAACCTCCCAGAACCAGTGGACCCCTGCAAACCTCATCCAGCATCAGCTGACTTTTATTACATCAGTGCAAAATCATTGTCGATATAGCCTAAATTTATTTATTTATTTATTTATTTTGCAGACCATTTTCAAGCTGCAATTTTCACATTTTCTGTGAAATGACAATTTAGGGATAGTTAGATTAAAAAAATAGGATTGTTTATAGTGGAGACAACACAAACCATAGAGGAGTAATCAAAACAGAGGGGGGAAAACAGCAAAAATTTTCTTTAAACTGCCTCTGAGAGAAAGATGAAACTCAGAAAAACTCAAGTTTAATTCTATCACAAGCGTAAAGCACATTTTTTTTACATTTAACCTCATTTATACCCAACATAAACGTCCCCTGTAAGACCAGGTTAAATGAACAGGTGTCATGTGTGGGAAAAACACACATTCTGCACGTTTCTCATGTACTTTTGGAACATTTTCAACAAGGTATTGTAAAATTATTTGATTAAATGTGGAAAAACTTGTTAAATTTGTTTATTTTTTCCTGTGGAAATATATCAAAAAATACTC